CGCCCTGCTTATTGCCATATGGAGACCATATACTAAAGTCCGTGGAAAGCAGGTTCATCTCTTTACAAAGCATCATCATTCACCTCAACGGACTAAGAGTAAATTAATTTTGTGAAGAACAAAAGTTAAGTAAGTAAAAATAAGAAGAACTCGTGTTAGAAAGATAACTCACTAAAGAGCATCATAAAGCGCTTATACAGACCAAGACTAAGTGAGTTTAAGAAAAAAAAAAAAAAAAAAGCGAACAGATAATTGCACTAAATTTTAGAATGTGTAATTCATATTATTAATTAGTGACAACTTATTAATGTAACTTATTAATGCAACTTATAGTTGTCTATAATTTAAACGTTTTCAATAATATATCGCAAAAATAACCGCAAGATTAAAAGTACTACAAGATGACTTGAAGTGCAATAAATTAAAAAAAAAGTTCTAACTCTATATAGAGAAAGTGGGAGCATAACCGTATATAAAGGCATAACCGTTTTTTAACAATTCCCTTTGAATAATGTTATCTAATATGGCAAGAAACATATCACGCGTTATTAAAACAGTTTCTGAGAAGTTGTGCACAGGGTTGTGCATTATTATGCACAACCAGGGACGGTTCTGGTTGAGCATAATAATGTTTATTTTGATAAAAATATAATTACATCATATTTTTTCAGATCTTTCTTTTGAGGATTAAGCAATATTTGATCTTAGTGTTAAAGATATGTGTTATCAGCATTATTTCATCAAGTTAAAACTAATTTTGATATCAACATAACCTAATAAGCAAGTTATGAAGCTGTATTCTTTCTAAAAACTGTCCTCTGACGCAGAACCACATAGATGCTCAGGAGGCATAACTGCATACTTTTGGCATTTATCAAAGTTAGGTAATTACGAATAACAATAATTACAATCGTTTACACTTGAATGCGTTTATGTAAAAACTTGAATAGAAATAGTTTTGTTTTGAGATGTTGAAAATTAGATTTCGTATTTTTTTTATTTAATTTGTACTGTGACAATGGTAAAGAAAATGTACCAAGAAAAGTGTACCACCGACGATTTTTGTGACGGTGCGGTTGTGCAATGGGGCAAAACCGTTTTTTTTTTTTCACTAAGTGTAATTTTTATGTAATAACATTTTAAAAAACCGTTTAATTTTTTTAATTGCATTAATTTAAAGCTGGATAATGTGGTTATTGAAATAAACAGTTAAAAAAATACATTTTATTTTTATTTTAATTTAACATTAATCCAAGCGTTACGGTTTAACTGCATACTGGTCTCAAAATGACCAATCGTGTGCTTATCATAAATTGAACTATATAAATACTCATCAGAAATCTGGTGAGTCTTTATTGATGAAAAACAGTGTAAAATAATAAAAATTTTTGTTGAGTGATTTTCTACTAATTTATATATATATATATATATATATATATATATATATATATATATATATATATATATATATATATATATATATATATATATATATATATATATATATATATATATATATATATATACATAGATCTAAGATAACATCTAATTGACAATTAACTTTAATTTGATTTTGATAAATTTAATTGATAATATTACTCAATATTATTTGAACAATATATATGTGTAAATGAACTCCCTGTTGTTATTTAATAAAAAAAAATTAAACAAACATTTAAAAATAGCGAAAATATTCCGTAACAATAATCAAATATTATACCATCCTATTACCTGTATTAACTTGTTTTTTAGACATCTAATTACCTATGTTATTATGTCTTTTCACAAACTCGTTTTTAGTTATGGTTTCTATTTAAATTAACCTGATTTTAGTTTTTTTTGAAGACATTATAATGACAGCAAATACAAAGCAATTTCATGACTTCTCTTCTATAGAAAACGTGATTTTCGTACTGTAATGCAATGTTCACTCTTTGGTTATATTTAGTTACCTTAAGAAGCTTCCACACAATGTAAACTGTGGAGTAAGAGACAGAAAAAAATGCCTTAAACTGTTTTTAATACATATAAATTAATTCATGTTTTATACATAGTTTTTGTAATTATATTTTACATCCAATGACGATCTAAACAATATAGATCAAAATATTAGAAAAAAAGAAAAATTAGTTTTAATTTTTCTCTTTTTTTAATATTTCATTTATTATCGTATAACTATCATCGTATTGATATTTCATTGGAGCATTGTAATACACCGTATAGATATTAAATTGGTGCATTGTAAAACACCGTATTGATATTATATTGGTGCATTGTAAAACAACAGTTTTTACCACTGATCTCTATAATAACACTATAATATATTATTATCGAGATCAGTGGTTTTTGCAAATTGTCTCGTAATATCTCTAAATGATGCGTAGAGCGGGGCATATCGGGACAGCAGGGTATAACGGGACAGTTATGCCTGAAGCTTTATATCTCAGCTAAAAATAATTTTTCTTCAAAAAATTTTGATGAAAAAATATTTTTAAATAAAATAATTTTTAAGTTATTTTAGATAAAACATTTTAAGCTATTGTGCTTCATTATTGTAAAAAAAAATTTAGTTTTAGAAATACCAAAATACGTTAAAAGTACCAAATACATCAGTAAGTTTTTCTTAAGCCATACAGCGATAAAAGATCTTGAAGATCTATGCGAATTTGCTTTATTTATAAAAAGTTTATATTTTTCAGACAGTATTTTTTTATCCTCTTTTAAAAATCTGGTTTTAAAAAAATATTTGGAATTGAACTTTTTGAATAGTATTAATATCAGTAAAATGACTTTTGTGGGGCATATCGGGACAACAAGCTATTTATATATTTGAGTATATTACTACCATTTCGTGATGCTGTTTACAGTTTGATGATTTTTTTTTTTTTTAATCTAAAATATTAATTATTTATTTATTTAGAAAATCAATTTTAGCAGTAAATTTAAGGAAATTCTTATTTTCATAGCTTAACTTTAATTGTTAATAGTGTTTACTGTAAACAAAGAAGGTACGAAATTTTGTTATTATTATTATTATCAAACTACAACGACATCGTCGTGAGAAATGGCTATATAAAGACCATTTATGGTAGTTGTAAATATGGATTTTTTATATAATTGTCATAGTTGTTTATAAAAATGTTTGTTGTTTTTGAGTTTTGACAGTATACTGGCAGTTGATTCCATTGTTTGACTATACTGTTTGTGAAATATATAAGAAAGATCAATTATCCAAAACGGGATGAAATTCAATTTTAGCTGTGAGTAAAAGAGAATAGAAAAGATTAGAAAATTTAGAAAAGCTGCCGGCACATATGACATATTTAAGTTTGCTCTACATTGGTATATTGCTAATGAACCAGCTCATCAAAAATGTTCCCAAATAGTTTCAGGATTATAATAATAATAAGATAAATATTCTTATTTTTTAATTGGATTGACGGTTTAATAAAAAACTTTTTTTTAATAAAAAATGATATATAGTATACCTAATATATATAATACTTGTGTCAATTGTATCACTCAGACATTTTCAAATAAATTGAAAAAAAAAACAAATTAAAATCCAAATTAAATTTTAGATAGGAAAAATGAGTATGGGTTTTAAAAAGTAAAAACAAAAAAAAAAAAGAAAGATATCTTCGATGCTCTAATGTATTAGAGGCTGTATTTCTTTGAAGTGGTGACATCTCTTTATCTTACATTATTAGGGCGTAGGATAAAGAGACGTCACTTCCTCAATGCATTACTTTCACGCACCAACTCAACATTAAGTTTATATGTGAAACATCAAACATTTTTTGCTGCACCAACCCTTATTTTATTGCATGATGCTGATACATAAAATATCAACTTTGTTGAATTACAGCAAACTTTAGTTTGTTGCATTAAACTTTATTTGTTGCATCAAACTTTAGTTACTTAGCTTACGTTACTTAGTTTGTAGCACTACTCTTGTTACGCTTTTTGTTAAACGTAAATATTGTACTCGTTCACGTATGTTTATTGAAATAAATATTTTTAAAATACAAATATAAAACGAGAATAAATATTTTTTCCGTGCTAAAACGAAAATAAACACCAGTTTTAGTGAATTAAAAATAAAATATTGCAAAAACATTTGCTCAAAAATATAATCTTTTTTGTACTAAAAAGTAAAAACTTTTTAATTTAAATTTAATAGTTCAGTAAACTAAAGATTGACTGGTCTGCACAAGGTATATAGAAACATACCTTTCAATCTTTAGTTTACTGAACTATTAAATTTAAATTAAAAAGTTTATTTTCTACTTTTTAGTACAAAAAAAATATTTTTGAGCAAATATTTTTACTATATTTTATTTTTTACTTTTTAGTCTTTGCAAAAAGTTATGACTTGTTTTTTTTTTTTTAAAAAAAAACTAATTTTAAAAGATTTAAAAAAAATACAAACCCACAAGCAGTCTTAGCTAATTTTAAAAATAAAAAGATTTATAAAAAAGAAAAAAAAGTATATTATTAAAAAAAAAAAAGAATTACAAACCCACAGCCGATTTTCAAAATAAAAAAGATTTATTTATCAAAGACAAAAAGTTATAGTAAAACAAAAAATTACAAACCCACAACCAATAGAAGCCTATTTTAAAAATGAAAAGATTTGTTAATGAATAAAGATTACTTTTAAAAACAAACCCGCAAGCAATATAGTAACTAATTTCTATATAAAAGGTTAGTTTTCTCGAGTTCAAATGATAACAAAGAAATTAGAAAGTCGCATCGAGTGAGAGAAATGATTATTAAAAAATAATGTTAAGATAAATTTTATTAACTTTTGTTACCGTTTTGAAACTAAGAAAATCATGATAAAAAGTTTTGATTGTTTTACCAAAAAGAATATATAGTTTTTAATCGGAGGTAGTATTTTTTTATAATGATAATTCCAACGACAATGATGTTCTTCAAAGGGGACAAGTAAACACGATGATACTCACATATGGCTGTATATATTAAAATAAACCATCTCTTAATGCCATATGTCACTTCCTTAAAATTTTTTTTCTTAGATTCTGTGGTAGATAAAATTACAATTGGTTTTTCCTTGAGTAATAAATAATTAATTTCACAGCTGTTTTGTTTATGTCACAAAAGAAAAATGTCTTCTATATAAACGCTCATGTTAAAAAAACACGTGGTGTTGTTTTCAAACGAACAAAAAATACGAAATAAAGCTTTCCTTTGAATAAAAAAAGTCTATTTATATAAAAGAAAATTATTTAAGTTAAAATAATCTTACCATAAACTATATTATACAGTAGCTGATAACGAAGAAAAAGGTAAATTCCATATTTATGTTTGTCAGTGTTTGCCTTGAATTGAAATGTGTAAGATTGTAATTAGTAGAATTTGTTTGTTTCTTACGTCTGCTAAAATAAAAACTTTTATTACAAGAACTCGCAGCTGTCCATATTAAGCGTTAAAACTTGCTGTATTGAAAGTTACAATTGTAACTAAAGATATATATTTTTTTGTTTACAAATATTTTATTAATCAAGACATATGTAATTTATGAAATATGTGATATTTATGAAATAGGTGCTTGACTTATTTAATGCAAACAAATTTAAAACGTAATTTTGAAAATAGTTAAATACATGTTACTATAGTAATGTTATTTATAACAGAAATAATTTGAAATCAGTATAATAGAAAACTTTATTTTCGTAAATATACAAGTTATATGCTATATCGCATTTTATTGAAGCCGGATTTCTGACAGTCGTTTTAAATAGTAGCGACAAACTTCTGATAGTAGTTTGGGGATTTTCTAAGGTCATGTATATACACCTTTGACAATCAATAAACTATGGCCCATGGCTAAAAAACTACAAACTTTTAGGATTACACCAAGTACAATGTTATTAAGAAGCTTTAAAGTTAATTTTAATAGTTTAATTAATAACCATTGAAATTACCATATAGCAATCTTCAATCTTGATACCAAGATATATTGTTTTTATAACCTTATCTAATCTGATAAATGAATGGTTTACTACACAGCATTGTGTGCAATTTTAATGGTGTAGCACAAAGTTTGACTATTTTTCTCTGCTTTGAAACCATTTAACTAATTGTAAAAATTTAATTTGATCTTTTGTAACTTGCTGGTTATTTTTTGGTGTGTCTAATTTGCATTAAATACAGGAGCAAGTTGCAGTTAGATTCACAAGACCATCAAAGCGCGAGTCAACTTAAAAAAAAGCCATCTTTTGTATTTTTAATCGAAGATTTGATTTGTAGAAATTTTCTTACCTATTCTCTGAGGTCAATTTGGTTGTTATCTTGTTTTATAAAGTACAGTTACCTTATTATAATTGCGCGGTAATTGAAATGCCACCCCTAATGAATCAGGCATACTTTTTTATAGACAATTATAAAAACTGCTAGATTAAAATGGCAAGCAACATACTCTGGTATGTAATTTACTACTTATCGATTAGTCCAAAAATTGCCAGAAGTGGTCATAATCATACTCTTGCCACAATTATAGCTGGCCACAATAGCACTTGACCGTAACTAAGTCAAACACGGAGTGTTTAACTTAGTAACGGAACTTAAAAAAAAGAAATTTAAAAAACTAAGCTACAAATAATTTAATAACCTTTTTAGTTACAAAATTCTTTTGCATGGACGTGGAATTAAGCATGGAGATATAGCGTATAGCAGATAAAGAGTATAGCAGATCAAAAAAAACCAATAAGCAGTAAGATGCGCGCATTTTTACAGTAAAACTTTTATAGGAGTGAAGTGAGTACAAAAAAACTGTTAGCGACTTTTGCTCTTTAAATTAAAGACTTTTATTATTTATTGAAAGTTACTTTGATTAGTTATTAAAACTCTTTTGGATTCATTTATTTGTATCTGAATTTAAAATTCTTGCTTGGGGCACAGGTCTCAAGCTCTGCACCACACATCTCAAGACTTGGGTGATGAATTTGCCCTTAGGTTTTGGTTGTTTAGTTTTATTTTACAAACAAAAAGATCTAGCGAAGAGTGAATATATCAAGTAAATAGGGATCAAATTTATCTAGTAATTGAATCTAGAAAATAATTTATTTTATTTTACAAAACAGAATCATCACAGTTGAGATGCACAGTCAGTTGTATTACAATTTTATCCAAAACCATTTAATCAAATTATTTCATTTATCAAAAAGAAAGTTTTATGAAGTTTTATAATTAACATGACTAATAAACCTTGTAATTTGTATAAAAATCTAAAGTACAAATAAACAGTTAAAAATCTTATTAAATTGGTTTATTATTGTTTTTGCTACTATTGTCTTGTATATTTTCTTTTTTTTTTTTTTACACAATAGAAATTTAAAGTATTAAATAAATACTATTAAAAAAAAAATAATTAAATAGAAAATTAAAAAAAATCAAGTAAAAAATTAATATTTTTTTATCTGGAAAAGATATATATTTCTACCAAATTAAAGTTTTTATGTTGTTTAGGGATTCTTTGAGTAAACAGCAACAAAAAACGTTAATAATTTTATAGTAGACGAATATAAGCTTCATTAAAACCAACTATCTCTATTTTTTTAATAAAAAAAACTTTTTTGAAACTACGTAAATTTTTTAAAAACCATCTACACAATCTTGAATTTTTTAAAACTGCCTACATAATCTTGAACTTTTTAAAACCGTTTACATAATTTTGAACTTTTTGAAACCACCTACATAATTTTGATTTTTTCACAACCATCTTCTTAATCTTGAATTTTTTAAAACTATCAACATAATCTTATGCTATTTTACTCAAAACAATAAAATTTCTGTTTATTTTTAAGCCGTCGAGTATAATCCATGATCATGGAGTGATCTAGGACAGAACAATACATAAATAACTTTTAATCAGGTGTTAATATCAATTAGATGTTTTAACATCTATCTTCAAAGAGATCAATATTTTGTGAATATACAATTTTTTGTATAATTATTATAATTATTAATTATCTTGAAGACATTATCATCAGCAATCAGAACCATTTGGTTTTCCAAAACATTTTTATAAACAAAGCACTCCATAATCCGTTGATTAATTTAAAACTCAAAATAATTATAAAATATTCCAAAGCAACACTCACGGACAGATAAAGCATTTTTTGAAGTTTGAGTAGACTCCAAACATTAAAATGTTTGTACTTTATGTCAAATAAGAATAATTTGATAAAAATTGCGGTAGTTGGAGCCTGGGAACAAAATTTTTTTTTGTTATACCTACCCCAAATGAGAGAGCAACGAGTTGATAAAGTATATTTTATGACTATTCTCAACTAGTTATACATTCATTAATAAATTTTGTACAAAATGCTATAGCGTTCAAAAATTATGATCATATAAAGGTTGTAAGCACATCAAATTGTGGATATTGAAAAATAAATTTATCAACTTGTTGCTATTTCTTTTAGGACATGTGTAACCAAAATTTTAGAGCTTATTTGTTAACAGACCCCAACAATCGCAATCTTTTGTAAAGCATACAAATTTGACATAAATATAAACATATAAATGTTTCATGTCTGGAAGTTAGTTATTTCAAACATTAAAAAATAGTGTATCCGCCCTTCTTTGGTCACTTCTTTGCTTCCTGTTATACTTTGGGTTTGATTGCTTGCAGCTTAGATGCCTTAAATTTCTTTTTTTATTTGACCAATGTAAGTTAAATTTTTACTTTTTACTCCTTGAAATATAACTTTCCAATTTTTGCGAGAAGAAAAAAATCTAGCTTATACATATTTTTTTAGATTTTTTGCAGTTTTTAGTCTCCCAGACTCTAACCGGAAAGTTCTTCTAGAAATTTGAAAGACGAATACAATTTTTTAATTTTTTTGTTAGAAATGAAAAATGCCAAATAAAAAAAACAACTCTCTTTTAAATAATCGAAAAATATTTACCCTTATTAAAAAAAAAGGAACTGTCGAACTAGGTTTTGAGGTGCAATTTTTACAAAGAAAATACACTAACATGTTTGTTGTTATTAAACTTCAATTTTGAAATAAAATGATAATTAAAGTAACCTAAATTATTTAAATATATATATACATATATGTATATATATATATATATATATATATATATATATATATATATATATATATATATATATATATATATATATATACATGTATGTATATATATATACATATACATATATATATATACATATATGTATATATATATATATATATATATATATATATAATATATATATATATATATATATATATATATATATATATATATATATATACATGTATGTATATATATATATATATATATATATATATATATATATATATATATATATATATATATATACATACATGCATACATATGTATTTTAGATGTCGGTTGGACTAAATGTTGATTATGCTAACCCTTACACAAACCAAATCTTTCAAGAGGCTGTGGCGAGAAACGATTTTGCCGTAGTAAAGCTTTTATTAAAATTTGGAATTCATCCAAAACGAAACGAAAGAAATGTTCACGGCCTTACTGCTTTGCAACAAGCAGTTCTTGATGGTCATACTCGAATGGCAGTAATATTACTTGAGGGTGGTGCAGATATTGAAGCTAAAACATCAAATGGCTGGACATGCTTACATATAGCTGCAGCCATTGGAGACTTAGATATGCTAATAACTCTGATTGGGCATTGCGCTGATTTAATTGCTTTAACAAAAAATGAAGAGTTACCCATTGATTTAGCTGCCACAAATGATATAAAAATTAAATTAGCAAAAGAGATGTCTAGAATTGGTTATTCGGAGTTAGCGCAATGGTACATGAGAAAGTTAGCAGCTCAAGAAGGGATGTTATACGTTTTATCTACAGATACACTTCTTGATATGGCTTGCGATGACAACTACGATAGCAATAATACCTATCCCTATGTAATTCGAAATATTAAATACGAAAATGAAGAAGTTTTTACTGATTGTGAAGCAGTTCCTTTTTTTAATACTAATGATTGTAACGAAAATAAAAACTTTTGGCAAGTTGATCAAGAAAAAATGAAGTATTTGTCTTCGTCAAGTGGATATGTATCTGAAATGATTTTTGATAAAAGCAAAGATGAACTTACTAAAATGGGCGTGAAATCGTGTTCTGTCAACAACTCTCCGATTCATAAAAATGAAGAGCAGCAAGGCTCTTATTGCGATGAACCTGAAATGTATGGAAACAACGATACTTTAAGAAGAACAGCAAGTATGAGGGCACACTCACAAACAATACAACGTAATCCAAGCAAGCTTGAATTACATATTGATTACACAAATAGTGCTGAAGACGACGAAGATGACCCAGAAATAAGTCCAGCTAGTCAAGAAACAAGTTTATTAATTTTAAAACCAGAAGAAAACTGCAACAATCGTGGTTCAAATTATCAAATTCGAAACGTGCGATTTGATAACTTTGATAATGCCAATGAATTTTGCAACTGTCCAAACTGCAAAAAAATGGGATACGCTTTTTCTCCAGACATTCGAGTTACGGGGCGAAAATTAGTTCAAGTTCAAGAAACAGCAGTTAATAGAGATGAGTTCTCTAGATTTAGTTATTCTTTAAATAATGGTAGAGCTACAGGCTACCCTAGTTCTCAATACTACCCGGCGACAACCACAAACACGTATAGTAACTACGGAAATCACGAAAAGCCAAGGAAACGAAGAAATAAGTTACTATCAGGAATTAAATCAATTTTTAAGGAAAGCATTAAAGTTCAAAAAGGTAGCGCTGAACCAATTGTTAACGACGCAGGAATCCTTTTTGCTGTGTCGTTAAGAGATCGAAACAAATCAAAATCTATTAGACAAAAACATTCTGTGCGAAAAAGTAATTCATTTTCAGACAAAACATCCCATAAAGAAAACTATAACGAAGAATTCATGTTATTTTCACACGAACATGTAGTTCATGCTCCTAGTTTTCCGTGTGATATACTTAATTCATCTAAAGTGCCATTAACAACAGAGAGCACAGTCCGATGCGAATTTAAACGGTGTACAGACTATTTTAATGATAATGAAGTTGAGGAAAGTGTGTTTGATTTGAAATCATCTTTGTGCGACGACCATATAAACATTATGATGTCAGAAGAACAAGAGAACAAGCTGAGTATTAGTAGAAATGGACTAAGTATAAATAAAAATGGATTGGGTATAAATAAAAATGTGTTGGGTACTAACAAACTTGATTCGAGTACCGATGAAGATTTAATTCTTTAAATGCAAGCAAAAAATATATTCTCCAAAATTGATAATACAAAATATTTTATATAAAAAATAATATTTTATTTAAAAAAAAACTTTAAAGCAAAAACTACGTTTCTTTTCCTTTCTTTTTTGAGCGACAATAAACTCTAGAATTTGCCAGATCAGATTCCGTCACACCACTAAAATCAAAGCATTTTAAATTCGGCAAGCGAAATAAGACATAATGTCGATAACTGGGATTACAATCTTCAATTGGGTTCCCGTGAAGTGTTAAGCTTCTTAAATGCTCTAATGATGAAAGCTTGTCTACTTCAGAAATTTTCTCAATATTATTTCCATGCAGATACAAAATTTTTAAGTTTCGGAACTCCAGTACACACTAAATGAGATGTAAACTTTTTAAAATTTAAACCTCATTAATTTATTAAAGGATTACTTTAAAGTTACGGAAATAAATTTTTCACCAAGTTATTTGAAAAGTACTGGACATAAAGTAACATAAATGTTCAAAAAGATTGCTTTTATTCTATTTTATTTACTTATAAATGTGTTGTCTATTATTAAAAAACAATACGCACACTTTTTGCTTGTGTGTGTTTTAAATTAATGAAACTTGAACAACAAATTTATTTAAATTCTCATAACATAAATAACGCAAAATATTGTCATTGTTAAGAGAAGAAAATATTTTCGTAGTTAAGCCTGATTTGTAATAAACAGGAGAGTAATCTATTTTTATTTTTGATCTATAAATTGTTTAATATTATGACCCAGTAACCCCCTTTTTGGAGTAAGACCCATATATTACTTTGGTGTAAAATTTTTAATTATCGTTAAAGAATACCGGATAAAGAATACCGGATGTCAAATGCCGTTAATGCCGTTAAAGAATACCGGATGCCGTTAAAGATACCAAATGCCGTTAAAGAATACCGGATGTCAAATGCAGAAAATGTAAAACATTAGGATAAGAAATAAGAAATTAAACAAATTATATAGAATCCAATACTTATGGCGTTTTATAACTCAGTTATATTTTATTTCACAACAAACAAAGTTTTCAATCTTGTTAACATTATTTGATAATTTTTTATCAAAAGCACTTGGTTTAATACCTTTAAACTTTTATCAAAATGCTACAAAAGTAAAATAAGGTTCAATTATTTAATAACTGTGGCTAAAGTATATAAAAGAAATATAAAAAATAATGAAAAAAAACTTGTCTGAGGAAAAAAACAGGATTAAAAAGGAACAACAGAAGTAAGCATGTTGAATTTTCTTAAGCTTGTAAAATTAGTCTAAAGTAATTTTTTATAATGGGATAGAAATTTAACAAAAGCTCTCTCATTTTTCTACCTTTATGAATTTCTAAGAAATTTAGAAGTAGAAAATGTAACCAGGAGTAAGAAATAGCCTGAAGAGAGAACCTTAGCATCTAATAACTTTTAAGTATTTATCAATAAAGGAATATCAATAATATGAAGTAACAATAAAAAAAATTAGAACATACAGTTTATAATTTTTATAATACAATTTATAATTTTTATTTTTACAAACACAGTTTTAAGATAAGAATACAATAAAATATATAATAGCACAACATGAATATACAGTCATTAAATATAGAGTATACATACAAATATACAATACAAAACAAAAGAATCTTAAATATGTTAAATAAAAGTTACCTTATCAATATTAGAAATATCATTAAAAGATAAGTCTATCCATTCAATATGATGCAAAGATTCGACTAGTTTACTAACTGTATTTAAAAAATCTTTCCAGTCAATAAGGACATTATTACTCAGACGTATAGCATTTGTTCTCTTTTTTATTATTTCATGACCTTTTGAACCCTAAAAAAAAAATTGTTATATTATTATGCAATTAATATAATAAAAAATAATATCCAATGAAATAATCCATATGTTTGAAAGTTCTAGGAAAATTCATTAACAATGAAAAATAATAATAAAAACGATTGAGATATTTTTGCCATACAGCTGAATCCATAAAAGTGTAGAAACTTGATGCAGTGAAAACAAAAAAGAAGAATGGAACCTTTCCATATAAAGAGAGCTTATACAAAAAGTTAGCTTGACAAACTTTATTAAAAACCTTTGATAAGTCAAGAACAATAGCGCTTGCCTCACTGTCTCCATCTCATATACAATAAAAACTTTCTGTTATTATAATCAAAATGGAACTACCTAACTATGCACAGTGGGCCAGGCTGTGACAAAATTCTCATTCTTAAAAAAAAAAATTTTAAATACATATTATAGCACATATCAAAAACTGTTTTTGCAGTTAAAAATTAAAGTAGCTTCTTTTTTAGATATTAAAAACAACTAAAAATTGAATTAAAAAAATGTTTAACTTTATTTTTTCACAAATTTAAAACTAATTTCATTCGTAGCGTTTTTTTTAATAAATTTTGAAATATATTTATAGCTTATTATTTTCTTGCAATAATTACAAAATATGAATCTAAGTTACCTTTTTTATTCTATTGTTTAAAATGATGTGTAAAAAATCTTTATAACAGTTATCATAAAGGTATATATATAACACAAGCGAACACATCTATGAGTATATACAATAAATAACAAACATGTTTACTTTGAGGTAAAACTAGTTTTGACTTCTTGCAACTTTGAGCACTAAAAAGTTCTAAAGCTGAATACATTATGTACAATCCCCTCTCACTTTGAGTGGGTTATATTATTAGATATTGATGTAACTTAAAAATGCCAAAAGATTTATTAATGAATTCTGTTAATTTTGATGAAATGAGGATGATAAAAATATGTTATTCTTAAATTTAAATTACTTTGTGTAATAGCTCTACCTCATCCTCCATCGTATGGAAATAACTAATCTTAAGGTTGTCACTTTAGTTTAGGTTATTTTTGTTATTAAATTATTAATTATTTTCATTTGCGTTATATTGTTTATATTTTTTTAGCTGTATAATAAAATATTTTAAAAATGTATCAGAAATATCAGTTCTCAATGCATGAAGAGCCTTCCGTACTATGTTGTCAAATTATGTCTGATTTAAATGACTTCATTGAACAAGAGAAAGTTGAGAAGATAAAGGAAAAATGGATGAACTTGATTGAATGCAGACAAATTGCTGTTAAATTTGAGTATAAGTATAGTGAATTGCTTGACAAAGGATATATTGATTTTGGAAGAGTGACTAAAGATATTCTTTTCAATTCAGAAAGTCTTGTTACACCGTTAAACAATATTATTGGTAAATTGTAGACTTTGATAATTGTTCTTTAAGAACAAAATATAGAAAAATTAGTAGAACTAATCAAATATTATTTGCTGTTAAAGTCAAATTAAATAATGATAAAAGGAAAGATGAAGGTGAAATTATTCATAACATTTTGGAAACAAATAGTGAGCAAACAACAATGACTCCGACTGGGGCTTTAGCACTACCTTTAGATTGTAACTTATCAATACAAAATTTGTATATAACCAACATATAATAATGTCAGAGCTGCAAAAAATCTGGTAAATCGTACTTGTAAAAGATTGTAAAAGTAAAATTACAGAGAGATATAAAATATTTTATTGGAAATTTTGTATCTATTGAATTTTTTTGGAAATTTTGCATCTAATTTTGAGGATTTTTTTTTCAAAATTTCAATATTTTTAATAAAAAAAGAGGATTTTAGAGGATTTTTTTAAATTAGGTTTAACATCTGTATTTCTACACTTGTGTGGTTTGGATATGTTTTATAATGTTAAGAATGTCAAGAATGGATATTTTTAACATTATACTAAAATCAAGAAATAAAACTTTATTACATGAAATAATAAAAACAACTCATAAATTTGTGTATAATGAACTTGATCCTTAAGTTCTACCAAATTTACTTTCTTGCATTTCACTATATATTTTTTTCTGTAAAATAAATTCATAAACTAAACAAGAACTGTAAAGTACTAGACATAAGATAGCATAAATGTTATGCCTCAACCTTCCATTTTTTTTCAAACTTTGATATCATGTTTTATAGCAAAATTAAGATTCTGACCCCAATAACACTTGATTTACTTGATCAGTAAAGTAACTTTGAGCAGCTTTTGTCCTTTCTAAAATATCTTTCTTCAAAAAACAGCTGCATGAATTAAGAAGGACATTGTGTAGTGAGTAAGTAAGAAAAGGCACCATTGGATTGTCAGTTTGAAAAGAAATTATTACATTATTTACTGATGTTGCAATTTCCTCAAAAAAAACTAAGTTTCAGCGGAATGGTGGGATCTTCCGAAGCTTTAACAAGACAATCAAAACAATAAATTTTTTTATTGGAGTGCGAAGAACTTAAGAAGATAGTTTAATAAAGTATTTGTTAGACATTCATAGTCAGCTCTGCAGGAAAGAAACATCAAATATTTTATACATATAAAATAATTTCTTAATGTTTTTTTTTATTTAATGTCTTTTCTTCACTTTGGAAATAAGATGAAGGGTATGTAGACTACATGTTTCAATAAAAATAAAAAAGCAAACATAAAGATCCATTTGAATTTCTTTAGACATTTTGTTATAAAATTTATCAAATAAGGTTGTGTAATAAAAGACTTTGTTCAATTTTTTTAAGCATTGTTTCTTTAGCAAAAAGTGACACTTTGACACTGTAACTACATTTTTTTTTCCACAGATGAAATGTGATGAAAATTATCTCTGCATTTAATGTCTGATCTCATATTATCATATCAATCAAATTAGTTTGCTTTTGGGGTGCTTTCTGTTCTGGTGAATTAGTTACTTTAGATAGCTTTTTAAAAAAATTTGTCTTACTGCTATCAGATGGACATCTTACCACATGTTTCTTCCTTTTAACATGCTGCTTTGTATTCTCTATTCTGCTATTTGCAACACTGAAAGACTTCAAACAGTCTATAATATGTCTTATAAATGCATTTGTTTTATCCTTATCTTCTTGCAACCAACACTTGAACTCATCGTCAATGAACTACAAGTTTTAAAATTTACTTAAATACTTAGGTGTTATTTCTTACCACATGAGCTGACTATGAGTGTCTAACAACTACTTTTTTAAACTATCGTCTTAAGTTCTTCGCACTCCAATAAAAAATTTATTGTTTTGATTGTCTTGTTAAAGCTTCGGAAGATCCCACCATTCCGCTAAAACTTAGTTTTTTTTGATTGTTCTAAACAAAATAAAAAAACTCTTTATGGTAGACAAGAGAAAATAACTACATTCAAACTAATTTGTAAAATTGGTTAAACTCCTTTAAAAAAAGTTTAAAAAAAGAGTTAAAAGAGGAGACTCAATCAAATTTTTAACTTTTTAGATTTTTAAGATTTTTGAAAAAAGAGGACTTTCAAAAATTTTATAGGACCTGTGGCTACCCTATAGAGCTAGATACAAAAAAACATATTGAGGAGAAAAGAGAATCAATTTATATTGTTGCAGTGGGAAAAAAAGGTATGAAATTGGTACAGCTCTAAAACTAAAATAAATTTAGTTTTAGAGCTGTACCAATATTAGGAGATAACATAAAAAGTTACTAGAAAAGCAGCACAAACAAAAACTTATAAGGCGAGACAAGAAGATGAAAAAAGTAGGAAAAAGTTAGTTATGAAATATTCTCTGTTTACCCTAAAATCTTTGTCTAAGAGGTCTACAAGACAGTTAAGATTTCTTCCCAAGATAAGTATTTTTAATGAAACGCCATTGCTAGCCTTCACTCAAACATAAACCAATAAATATCAGAAACTATAAAAAACATCAGGAACTGTAAAAACACTAAAAATTACCTAAAATACCAGGACCAAATAAAAAATCAGCAACTACAAGATATAACAAGATTTATACAAAATATGATGAACTACGAAAGACAACTATATAAAGTACTAACAACCATATAAAATATTAGGATTTACATATAATAACAGAAATCACACAAATTTTTTTATTTATTTACAATTTATACTGCAAAAATTGTTTTTTTTCGTGATAAAATGCTGATATTCGGCAATATTTCAGCTAAATTTCTCTGGGACAGGGGATGGTTTGTACCACTGCCCAAATTTTTTTCCTGGAAAAGCCCTTGTATACTGCAAACCTGATAATAAAGGCTACATACATGCTCAATTTAACCACCCTCCTAGTATACTAAAATAACTACCTTAAAAATTTGAACTGAGATGTCCAGAAATTTTAGCAGTGAAGAAATATTTAAGAAACCTGTATCTATTTATAATGAAACACTACAAAACTCTGGTTTTGTAGTGCTTCATTATATACATAATCTATCTTACCAACCTAACTTAAAACAACAACAAAAGAAAAACTGTACACCCAAAATAATCTGGTACAACTCTCCTTTTAGCATAAATGTCACCACAAATATAGGAAAATGCTTTTTAAACTTGATTGCCAAACATTTTCTAATTAACAACAAACTACATAAAATTTTCAACAAGAACACTGTAAAAATCAGCTACATTTGTATGCTAAACATGAAAACAGTAACAAACTCACACAACAAGCACATCCTAAACAAAAATTCAACCATTAATAAAAATAACTGCAACAGCCTTAATAAAAACACTTGTCCTTTACTCAATAACTGCTTGACCAACAACATTGTGTACCAAGCAACCATCACCCTGGATAACCATTCAATAAAAAAATCATACATTGGTATTAGTGAACACCTTTTAACTGAGATATGCCAACCATTTAAAATCATTTAACATACCCAAATATAAAAACGATACAGAGCTGTCAAAGGAGGTTTGGAACTTAAAAGATAATAAAAATCATGTGGTTAGTTGAAAATAATTAGAAAATGCCAAGTGTATAACCTAAAAACAAAATCGTGTAAATTATGCCTTAATAAAATATATGAAAATATTTTAAACAATGACAACAGTTTATTAAATAAGAAAACTGTAATTAAATCGAAATGTCGGCATAGAAACAGGGTATAGGTAGACTTCATAGGGTAAAGGTAGACTTCATGCAATCAATTTTTTGATGTCAGATCCCATTGCATTGTTTAATTTGTATTTTTAACGGTTTTTTAATTTCTCGATTTAAAAGATATATAGCTGATAATTGTTGCCGTGCATGAAATTCTGAGTACCAACAAAAAGTTGTATTTTTTTCATTTTAATACTAAATATACATATATATATATATATATGTATATATATATACATGTTTATATATATATATATATATAAATATATATATATATATATATATATATATATATATATATATATATATATATATATAAATATACAAACATAGCAATTAGGCCAAGAAGCAATGTTAGAATACGCAAACTATACATTTAATTGACTACAACTAACTAATGTATTTGATTTAAGTATTAAAACAAAAGTAAGGTAGAATAAACTATGATTATTAGCAGTGTTTTAAAAAAATATTTTTTATTTACAAATGTCTTGACAAACACATTGTTAAATACTGTAACTTATTAATAAGTAGGAGGTAGCACAAACGTGGAAGAGTGGATTCAATGAGTAAAGAGGAAACTGAAAATAAGACAATTTTAGATTTCTATCTACTCACAGAAGGAATAGGGATATGGAATTTAATAGAAACTTTAATTTGTCAAATACTCTGTAATAATAAGTGGTCTAGCATACGAGAAAAAATGAATAACACTGTTAATTGTCTTTTCTATTCTATTTGTTTCTTATCTCATTAAAATTGTGATTTTAATGGGATGAGAAACAAATGATTTCTTTGCTATGATTTAGAAAGGTTTTTATTGTAGTGTCTAAAAATAGTTTTAAACCTGTTTGTTTTTATTTTAGAAGTTTTGTTCTGGTTTAGATAATGTATTTTTGTCAGGACTTCTTCAGAAGCAATTGTTTAATCCAAAAAAAGTGTTGTGTAATAAATGTAATTGGAAAACAGAGATATTATATTAAAAATCTGTATGCATACAAAAAAATTTCCTTTATAAGAAAAAAAACTTACTGCAGATGGTTTCATCTTTTTAAAATTGTGATTCCGAGATTCTTCTTCTAAACAATCTAAGAACAGTAATTATATTACTGTTTAGTAATCAAATAAATAAAGTATTTTTGTAATTAGTAACGCTATTAATAATTAGAATAATTAGAATAATTATCTGCAAAGTTAATTCATATTTTATCATCTTGAAAACACTGCACAGCCCTGACTAGCCCTTATATATGTCTCGAACTGTACAGTGTACGAAAATATATTTATTTATATGAGATATTGATATCTTGAAAATGAAATTTTTTTGTACACTAAAAATGTATGCAAAATTTTGGGCACAGATAGTAAAAAAATATATTAGGTGTACAAAGCAAAGACATTTATATATACTAGAAAATCCGGACCCATAAAACGGGTCACGATAAGTCTGAATTACACCTCCCATTTATATTTTACTCATTTTCAATAGGTTACAGAAAATGGTAGGAAATAATGATTTTAGCTTCATCAGAGGTCTAATTTAACATTTCCTTTTGTGTTGCTCGAGCATTTTATGCATATAGCATAATAAAGTTGATATATAAAAAAGTTGACTTGAACCTTTTGCCTCTGATAACCAGGGCCGACAACACAGATTTCAATGTGGGGGAGGGGGGCACAATTGTCAATTTTTTGAAAAAGTCTTCTATATCTAGAATTTTCTTAATACAAAAAAAATATTCTTTAGAAAAAAGTGTGTGTGTGTGTGTGGAGGGGTGGGGGTCCAGTTCCCGGTCCCCCGGTGTCATCAGCTCTGATAACATTAAAGCCTTTGTTTTTATGTGAGTGTGTGTGTATGTGTGTGTGTGTGTATGTGTGTGTGCGTGTTTATTTTTTTTGACTATAAGCTTTGAAACTTGGTTAAACAAGAATTAAAATAATGGCATGACTATATTAACAAAAATTATTTTATTTTAATATCATTTTTGCAATGGGATCAATCTTAGATTGATTCCATTGCAACAGAACCTTAATATACAAAGTAAAACCTCTTGGGACTAAATGTCGTCACACCTCTACTTAATAAACGTTTGGCTGGCAGGTTGGTAATCTTGCTCTAAACCTTTTAACATTTTTTTTTAAATAGAATTTTAATTATAATAAATAGCTAGCTAGCATAACAACCTAGCTCTAAAAATATTGCGAACCACTTGCTTGGCTAGTTTTAAAGTATTGCTTAGCTAATTTCACGACCTAGCTCTAGCTTTACCCAACTGGTTATGGATTATAACATAATACTTTAAGTTTATGTTATGGATTATAACATAATACCTTAAGTTATGTATTAATTTTTTTTGTAAAAAATGTGTTTAATGATAAAACAATAATCATTAACAAATTAGGTATATTTGAAAAAAAAAGAAACACATTTTGTAAATCATTTAATGAATTATTCAAAAGTTGTCATTTGTGTCATTTCGTAAATCCAACTTTTGGAATTTTATACTCAATGTTTAAAACAACATTAGTACTTATAAAATTTTATAAAATGCAAATTTTGAGTTTCTTACAAATTTGGTTAAATAATGCATTAAAATAATAAAATAAATAAATAAATAAAAAAGTACTTTTATGTATTTTATTATTAACTTTTATTTGAGTACCATTGCAAGTTTTAATAAACTTCTAAATAACGTAATTGCACAATCAATTTTAGATTTTAAACAATCAATTGGCATAATAGTAGAAATAAAGTTGTTCAAAAACTGAACAGGAAAGTTGTTTCTTTTTTGAGGATTGTGGATCTCAATTTAATCAGCACTTAAAAATACATTGATCTCCCGGTAAATGTTCAAGCACTTTCTCAATGATTGATAAAGAATCCACATTAGTGAGTGTTAAAATAACATTTAGCATAATCATCTCATTCATCATCTTCAAATATCTCATTAACAATTAAGCTATTTCTCTATTAATGCACTGATTTGGTGTTTCAATATACTCTTTAAAACAACCTTCCTTTTTGACAGGTTATTATTCCACTACCGTGTTTTAATAGCCATTGTGAAAACTCTCCTTACCCATCATGTACTCTAATTTTTCAGTTAATGCAAACTTTTGCAACTTTTGCCTATTTAGTGAACATTTTTTACATGCTTCTATAACTTCAGTTCTTGTCACCAAAAAAAATTGACTTTCCTACCAAACGGAAGGTTGTTGTTGCAAACATATAATGGAAAGTTGTTGTAAACATTATGCATTCTCTATTATGCATATATATATATATATATATATATATATATATATATATATATATATATATATATATATATATATATATATACAACCCTCAAAATTAGGGTCGGCATTTGCCAATGTCAACCTAATTGTTGAACTTAAAGTGTTTGAGGTTGGCAAAAAATTGCTGACTTTGTTTGTATGTTTTATGGTAAGACCTTTTGTATCAAATTTTATTTACCAACCTCTAAAGATTTAGGTCAGCAATTTATTGCCGACCACATTTTTCCTAATTCCGAGAGTATATTACATATTACATGATATATTACCTGATACATATTACAGTCTTGACAAAAAGTCATTATTGATTATTTAAAAATAAACAGCCAATTTTAAATGTTTCTTCTGTGACAGCTTGAGGCTCCTCATACTGGTTAGTGAACTTTAACCCAAATAAAATTCATATTTTGCTGATAATATTTTTTTTAAGTTGTTGATATTTCTTTATTGATAAATGGCAACACTTTTACTGAATCTTCTATTTTATATGTTCACTACAACTAACACTACATCCTGCTCATGGAAGCCATATATACAATCTATTGCAAAGTTGGCATCTGCTAAGGTTGCCACTATTTATTGTGCTTACCATTTTTTTACTCCTGATTCTGTTTTCTACCTCTTTCAATCACTTATTGATACTAGCATGGAATATTGTTTTCATACTTGGGCTGGTTCTTTTAACAATGGCTTTTTTGTTTTTGAAAAGATCCAACAATGTATAGTAGTTAGACCTGCTCTAGCTGGATTATGAATGCTCTAAATGGTTAGACCTGCTCTAACTGAATGATGGATACTCTAAATGGTTAGACCTGTTTTAACTGCCAAGATAAAATAATTAAAATAAGCTGCATAAAAGCCTTATTAAGTTCAGGTTTAGAACACAAAACTGAAAAAAAAAAATACATATTTAATATTTAAAGTATTCTCCTTTTGCTTGATACCAAAAAAGGACTCTTCTGTATTCGACAAGTTTCATGCATACCTCATATGACAACGACCAATAGTCAAAAGTTGCTTGGAATTTAGTTCATTAAATTTAATGGTTCACAATTAAGTGACAATCCATGATCAAATATTTTTTAATAAAGTTAAGATTTGCTGATCTAGGACAGCAAAGCAAAAAATTTTTTTTAATGCTGAACCATTGTGTTACACTATAAGCGTGTAGCTGGAGCACCTTCTTGAAGAAAAGTTGTGTTGTGTTGTTTGATTCAAGATGTGAAAAAGATTTGTTGTTTGATTCAATAATTTGCCAGTAAATTTGATTTTCAACTCATTTATACTTAAATTGAAATTTGAAACTGTCACATTATTTAACAAGATAATATTTAACAATTTTTACCAATTAAAATATAGTTTTGTAAAATTAAAATTATTTTTTTAGTTAGCCAAATACTCAGTACCAATTAAAGCAGTAATTGAATAAAATATTGAGTTATTGGGTGTCAAAAAAAGTATAGTTAATAAACTCAAACAAATTTTATTTCATCTATAAAATGGGTCATCTAACTTTTAATTAGTATCACAGATGTTAAGCAATATCTGAACATTTTACAAAGTATTTGAAAGTTTATAAGAAGTGTTTTGGGATGCTTATCAAAGACAAGCTAGAAGGGGAAAAAAAAACATGGAATCTAAACATGCTACTTTTGATTTATAATTTATGCAATAAGAACGTGATTTACCATCTTTGAGATAAAACTCAGGGTAGTTTAGAAGCAAAAATCTTTGTAAGTCAATTAGTAGCATTTATTGAAAATCAAGCAAATGATAATACACAACAATGAATATGGTTACTAAAACATAAATGTTATTATTCTAATATATTTATAAAATGGGCCATTAATAAGCAAGTAAACATCATGCAAAAATATTTGAAAAAAAGACTTCTGCAAATGTTGTTGATCTCATTCTATCATTTTATTAAAATTATAACCAAGAATAGATATATATTTATCAAATGATTACATCACTGTAAGCAAAGAAGACAACCAGAAAAATCTTTGTTTACTTCTCTAAAGTGCGATTATGTGAAAACATTCACCTAGGGTCAATAGAAAGCAATCCTTATGTAAATGATGTCTACTGTTTTTCTTGTCTTCCTGCAAAAGTTATATAATACAAACTATTCAAACTGATAAATAAAAAAACCTTGTATAGAAATTGACAGAAAGTTAAGTCTGAAAAATACAAAAATATAAAGTTATTGAAGAAAATTTTATATGAAACAAATTGGCCATTTGACTATTTCCCACATTGACAGCATTTAAAAAAAATGATTTTCATTTATAATAGTTGTTTTTTATGAATGAAAAGGCCTGTATAAACTTCAATACATCCTAACTATTTTTTATTCGAAATTTTATGTTGCATATATATATATATATACATATATATATATATATATATATATATATATATATATATATATATATATATATATATATATATATATATATATATATATATATATATATATAAATCATTATGATCAACATGATTATCATAATTATCATCAAGTTTTAGTCTTTCCTTTTATGCAATTTTTCTAATATAAATGCATCTTTTTTACTTGACTAAAGTAAGCCTAACATTCTATCTCTAATTCATGGGTGTGATCTTGTTACTTCTCCTCAAAGTAAAGCAAAGTTATTTTCAAGGAACTTTTCCACTAATTTGACTATTAAATATAATGGGCATATTCTTCCTTATATTCCAGTTAAACATATTAACCCATTGTTAGACATCCAAATCACTTCGGCTTCCAATGTCAAATTTTAATTAATCA